ACCACTCTTACCTGAAGCTGGAGCATAGTTGACTTCTTTTCCACCTGTGAGAAGAAAAGCTGTGAGAGACCAGGGAAGTCCCCGACCCTAGGAAGTTTCCAGAACTGACAGCAGACCCAGGTTAGAGACAGGAGCAATGAAGGGTGTGGATGTGTTTCCCATTTATGAGGCAGAGATTCTTCTAAAAGGAGCTGAGAGAGAACTCAGACCCTGCCCTTTCCTAGCTGTGTTTCTCCTCCTCTTCCTCACAACAGCCACTACAGCTACAATGACCACAGCTCCAAGGAGAACCAGACCAGCAATGACTGCCATGATGGAGACTGTGGACTGAGGAGGCTCGGGAAGGGAAGGTGAGGGTCATGACCCCAGCTCTCATCCCTGACCCTGCTCAGGGTCTGTAGAAGGCTCCAGCTTTCCCTGACTCCAGCTCTCCACCCACTCCCTCCTTACCCCATCTCAGAGTGAGGGGCTCAGGCAGCCCCTCATGGTGCACATGGCATGTGTATTTGTGCTCCTCCCCAGAAAGCACCACTAGAGATGCCCACTTCTGGAAGGTTCCATCCCCAGAAGGTCTGGTCTCCACCAGCTCCATGTCCCGAGTCTGTTCCTCCTCCTCCCTCTGCCAGCTCAGGGTGATGTCAGCAGGGTAGAAGCTCCGGGCCCAGCACCTCAGGGTGACATCACCATTAGATCCAGGATGATGGGTCACATATGCCTTTGGGGGATCTGTGTGAAAGATTTAAGAAATCCCACAATTAACAAGATAACTGAAATCTGCAAAGACAATGTTAAATCAGAGATGACACTGAACTGTGTGTCTGTTTGAACACTTTGTCGTCACACTAGTGACCGAAGGAGCCACTGTTGGTTATGTCGGGATCCTCTCTCCTCCCTCCTGAGACAGATGTGGAACTGTCCAGGGAGAAGGCTGAGCCCTGGGAGGTCAGTGTAGTCCCTGCCATGCTGGATCAGGAGACCTAGGGACCCTGTCTGCTCTCAGAGACAGGGGCATGACCCCTGTGAGGGTTTCCTCTTCCTCAGGACTGAGCCCAGCCCGAGGGCAGAGGGAGGAGTTGCCCGCAGCCCCGCACCTGTGCGCAGCAGCGCGTCCTTCCCGTTCTCCAGGTGTCTGCGCAGGTACTGCAGGCACTCGCCCTCCACGTAGGCCTTGTATCTCTCTGACTCCCCAGCCTGCTCCCACTTGCGCTGGGTGATCATCGCCGCTGTGTCGGCAGCCGTCCAAGACGTCAGGTCGTCGTTCAGGGCTATGTAATCGCGGCCATCGTAGGCGAACTGACTGTACCCGCGAAGCAGGCGCCTGTCCGACCCCACCTCACAGCCGGACAGCCACTGGAAGGTGTGGGAGCCTGCGGGGACCCCGCGGTCAGCCCCGCCCACCTGTTCAGCTTCGGGGTCACCCGAGGCCCCGCCCACTAGAGGTCAGCCGCGCAACAGCCCTTCCCCGAGGCCCCGCCCCCGTCACCCAGACTCTGAGGACTTTGAACCGAAAGGGAAACCGGGTCCGGTCCCCGCTCTCCTTCCGAAACTCGGACCTGGGACCCGAGGCGACTCCGGCCCGTGCGTGGGGACGTGGAGGGGTCGTGACCTCCGCCCGCNGAGAGAGAGAGAGAGAGAGAGAGAGAGAGAGAGAGAGAGAGAGAGAGGGGTTATGTATCTTCTACCACACGGTCATCATTATTCTCTTTATTATTAGTTCCAGTTCCTCTCTAACTGTGGTTCATTCACTAAAGTAACTGCACCATGCAAGTGTGTGCACACAGGGAAACGTGGAGTGTAGACAGGGTCAGTGTTCTGCTGTATTTGGTCTCCACAAGGGTCTCTCCCATGCAGAAGGGGTCTACTGTGCTGAGACAATGACCCAGGTCCACACGGACAATTTCAGGACCATGGAATGAAGATCTGTGTAAAACACAAGCACCTGGAGCCACAGATGATCATCTGGGAAGAAACACTAGGAGTCTGAGTGTAAGCACCAGGCTGTGAAGACATGATCCCGAGTGAAGAGGCAAAGTCTCTGTTTACAGGTGAGAACCTGAGCATCAGGCTTTGTTGTAAGGAGGCTGCTGTTTGTTTCTCAGCCACCCACACTCCCGAAATAATCACATGAAAATCACATTATTTGCAATACTGTTTGGCCAACAGCTTAAGTATATTTCTGGCTAACTTTTATATCCTAAATAACCCATCTCCATTAATCTGTGTATTTCCATGTGACTTTTCCTTACTGGCAAAGTTTCGGCATGTCTGTCTCTGGCGGCAGCTCCATGGTTTCTCCAAACTCCCCCTTTTTTCTCCCAGCATTCAGTTTAGTTTTCCCTGACTAGCTAAGTTCTGCCTTGCTATAGGCCAAAGCAGCTTCTTTATTCATTAAACAAAAAAGCAATACATAGACAAAAGGACTTCCCACAACATTTCACCTTTTCTGTTTAAATAAAAGGGAAAGTTTTAACTTTAATATAGTAAATTTATATATAACAAAACAGTTATCAAGCAAGATTTACAGTTATAGTATTATTATCTCCTTTATCTTTTATCATAACTAAGGAAAAGTATATCTATTCTTCAACTCCATTAAAGATTCCAGAAGAATATATTACCTAAGTAATAGGAAGTGCATTGTAAGCAACTTCCAAAGCTGTAGAATTGACAGAGACATCTCGCTGCCTCGAGGAGTCACCCAAAATTCTTCTTTATTACTGGGGCATCCATCTTCAGCCCACAGGCCCATAGTATCCGGCAGACTTTCCCATGAACAGGAAATTTAAAAGACAGTTTTACCTGTTAGCAGTTTGTCAGTCACTTTCTTCTCTGTCCTGCAGAATGTCTGGCAGACTCTTTCATGAAGCAGGAACCCCGAAGGATCACCTCACCTTCCTTAGGCAGCTTTAGCGTCACTTTTCTGTGGGTCCTGCATGTCCAGTTCATACAGCATAACATAAAGCAGTCCAGACAAGAGCCATCTGTTGCCCAAATGGCTAGCAAACTCCATACGGAGCCTCTTTGGTGCCAATCTTCCTCTTGAAGCTTTTTGTGCTTCCAAGTGCAGATGTGTCTTATTCTCATAAAAAGTCCTAAGCTTTTAAAACATTTTAAATGTCATATTCTGAATGTCTCTGAAAGATTTGAAGAATACCCATCTAACTGAAATATATCTCTATTTATTTAGAAAGCCTAACTAACATGAGTACAAGCTTGACTATTTTAGATGACTATCTACTAACCTATATGTCTTAATTATACATTACATTTTAAAATGAGCTGTTCAAACACAATACCTTAACCAAGAGCAGAAATATAACAAATTTGACCTTAAATTTGTATCGATAGAGGAAGATCCATAGCAATGCAGAATATCCATCTCCATAGCATATTCCCCTTTAAATGTAAACAAACATTTATAAATAATATTTGGGAATATGGGCATAGTTCTCTCAAAACTGCTTCCTGCTTTTTTTCAACTGCCAGCTGTGCAACCAGTCCCAATGAGGATTTGGTAATGCATGAGCATCACCTAAGTGGTACTGGTTTTGAGGGCGTGAGGGGTCATGGAGAGCAGGTGAGGCTTGGCAATGTGAGAGGCCAGGGGAGGCCATTGATGAAGGTGCAGCCTCAGTGGCAGTGGAGGCCCAGGACTGAAGGAGTCATGACAAGGATTTGAGGCTTTGCACCATGAGACCCTATGAGAGGCTATTGGTGGAAGTGCAGCCCAGGTGTTTTGGAGACACCAGCACCATGGAAGATCACCAAGAACAGCAGCAGCAGTGAGTGGAGCAGCTGGAGCCTGGAAGAGGAGCTGTGTGAGCTGCAGAGGGCAGAGCTGGAGAAGAGACCATAGCCCTTTGCAGGGTTCCAGGAGGTCGTGAGTGAATCCCAGACAATTCGACAGTGAGTTTTTATACTGTTGAGTTTGGCTATCTGTCTGTCTGTCTATCTATCTATCTATCTATCTATCTATCTATCTATCTATCTATCTAATCTATCTATCTCCTTTTCCAAGACAGAGTTTCTCTGTGTAACAGCCCTAGCTATTCTGGAACTAACTCTGTGGACCTGGCTGGCCTTGAACTCACAGAGATCCGCCTGCCTCAGCCTTCTGAGTGCTGGGATTAAAGGCATGCGCCACCATCTTGCCTACCTTTGATTTTTAAACAATCCCATAGATGAACTTTTAAAAGAGATTTTGAACTTTTAGAGAGAATGGATATCTTAAAGAGACTGAAATTTTTTATGTTTGAATTTGTAAAGACTGGACTTTTAAAATTATTTATGATTTCCATGTGAGATCTTGGGAAGGAATAAGAACGGGAGGGTTGTGGCTGAATAGTGATGGTTTGTGTGTCAGGTTGACAAGGGGTCAGCATCACTGGCTGGTTTTGTGTGTCAGGTTGATATAAGCTAGAGTCTTCAGAGAGGAAGGAGCCTCAGTTTAGG